TAGTTTTGATCTCTTCTTAAACTCAAAATTTAATTTCATGAAAAATTACCTATATGAGGTACTTAACCATGCTATTACATATACAGTTCAAACTTAAAATAAAGTTGTCTGTCAAAATAATAAATTTAACAATAAAAAATATCATTTTCATTTCTAAAAAAAAAAGGTATAACATAAAAAGAATATTTGATAGTTATATAAATATGATATAGTATAAGTGTATTATTACTAATATTAAGTATTTGATAATTTTTACTATATTTATTTAAATAGGATAATAAGCAAATTATTCAAATTGTTAAATTAAATCAAATCAAATCAATTCGTCAAATTGAATTAATTTTTATATTGAATCAAATCTCAAATTAAATCAAATCAAATTAATTCAAATCTAAAACTTATCAAACTTTATTTGATTTGAATCAAATCAAATCTAAATCAAATTAAATCAAATCAAATTTTGAATCAAGTTTAAATAATTTGATTTAAAATTTTTAAATTTGATTTGACTGAATCAAACAAATTTGAATTAATTTGATCTGATTTGATTTGTGTAGAACACTAGTTATGATCACTTTTTATTAGTTTATTATAACCTAAAAAAAAATATTATTTTCAAATACCTTTATATTCTTATAAAGTAAGTATACTATTGATTCTATTCAAATCAGCCCAACTTTTATAGTATACGATTAGTTTGTGAATATTTTTTTTTTAAACTAACTTAAAAGTTTTACATTCTGTATAGAAAATTAATTAATGATTGGAAAGAATCTAAAAGATATAGTATTGAGATGGTTATAATTTCAAATACATTTTTAACCATTGTTTAAAATTGTTCAAATTCTTTTTATTGTTAAAGATTTCAGTTAGCTGAATATCAATTGATAGAAAGACTTTTTAAAGAAACAGTTCAAATTCCTTGATTTTATAACTTTATTGCCTATTTGTTAAAATCAATTGAAATTGTAATTGTTGCATATTTTTTCTGACTCTTAATCTTTATAGCAATCACGTTATCTCATTTTTTAATATGCAAAAGAATATCAAGTTGAAATCAAATAGAAAGGATGTTATATAAAGTTATTTGCAGATATTATCCTTTAATACTGATTCATATCCAGTCTATATATGAAGTCGAAATTAAAGCCCAAAAGTAGAAATATTTCGACTTGGGAAGGTCAAAAGTCGAAATTAAAGTCGAAATGGTCGAAATTACATCATAGTCATGTGATTTTTATAATTATAATTTAATATAAAATTTTAAACGTGAATAACTCCGTCAATATTGATGCTACAGATATGATATACATATCATTGGAATCCTCTCAATGAGCTGAATCCAACCTGTCTCTTATACACATCTAGATGTGTATAAGAGACAGGGTTAAGAGTATTAACTATACATGAAGTTGAAATTAAAGCCCAAAAGTAGAAATATTTTGACTTGGGAAGGTCAAAAGTTGAAATTAAAGTCGAAATGGTCGAAATTACATCATAGTCATGTGATTTTTATAATTATAATTTAATATAAAATTTTAAACGTGAATAACTCCGTCAATATTGATGCTACAGATATGAAATACATATCATTGGAATCCTCTCGATGAGCTGAATCTAACTGTGTAAAGATCATAAAAATCGAATCACTGGATGCGGAGTTCGTTAACTTTGAATTTTAATATTATTGTTTACTATAAAATTATATGACTATGACATAATTTCGACCATTTTGACTTTTGGAGGGGCTCAAGTCAAAATCATTTCGACCATTTTGACCATTTCGGAGGTCAAAATTAACCAATTTCAGTTTCATGTATAATCCAGTCATAACTGATATAATTTATTTTAATAAAGTATATTATTATTTTTTTAGCTGGTTGAGTCTTGCTATCTGATATATATATTTGTTTACATTCAATTCAATTTTATTACTAAAAAGAGCTAAAAAGGTATTACAATTACTGTCTATATAAAAACCATTTCTACAAAGGTAATTGTACATTATTTTCCTTTTAAAGAATTTTTAGCAGAATTCTTTGTTGAAGAAAACAGTTATATATTTGTTGATTGGTATTTTCCAAAATTTCTATTTCTACCAAAGTCATTTAATCTGATACAGGCATATCATTGCCAGTAGGTTTAATGCTTTGAAATGGGTTAAGTTAATTTACAAGTTGGTCAAGTCAAATCAAGTCAAATTGAAAAATTACAATCAAATTGAATCAAGTTGCATTAAGTTAATAATTTAATAAAATTGAGTCAAATTAGGATCTTGAACATCTCTTATAGAACTTACAACTAACTTTTTGCCAAAAAAAAATCCAATTTGCTATTTTTTTATTTTCAATTTTTTGCGATTATCTCAGCATTCAGTGATCTGATTTATGCAAATTTTTTTTATTTTGTAAAGCTTAATGAGAACTACAAAACAAAAAAAATTCACATAAATTGGATCACTGAATGCTAAGATAATCACAAAAACTGTGATTTTTTTTAAAAAAAATTTAGGCCAATTTGCTAAAAAGTTACTCTCTGAGTTGTATATATAATATCTGGGATTCTGTTAAATTGAAAATTATAGAATTTTCTTTTTTAGAAATTATGTTATATAAAATTCAAAATGAAAAATCTTTAAAATTTACAAAAGCGGATTTTTGTAAAATAGCTATTACCAAAAAAGAAAATAATTAGTATAGCTGAAGAAAATTAAGTGATTTAACTTAACTTGATTTAACTCAGTTTAATTGGCACTTGATTCAACTCAATTCAGTTTAACTGGCTAATTCAATTTAAATTGAGTTAAGTTTATATTTTTATAATTTTAACTCAACTCAATTCAATTTGATTTAACACAAATTGAATTAAGTTTACATATAACTCAACTTGACTCAATTTATTCAGAGTACTAAGTGAGTTTTATTGATATCAACTGTTCTTAGCAATGAGTTTTTTCTTTTATAACTGTTTTGTAATCTTTAAAAGTGGAGATAATAAATAACAGGTAGGTGAAGTAAGTATTATTTATTATACATGCCATCAAAATTATTTTGGGCTGCTGTAATTATAAGTAAAATCCAAAATTCAATTATGACATCCCAAATTATTTTGGCATTTTATATAATAAATTATATATAAACTGAATGAATTATGACATCCCAAATTATAATTATGGTATTCCAAAATAATTTGAGCAGCATGTATATCATTTATGATACCAAGTTCCTTAAATTTGTCCTTATAGAATTTTATCATTTTACTGAAACTTTTATATTTTACAGGTGGTAAGATAGAAACCCGCCTACTATTAAGATAGGTTATCTTGTGACTTAAGGTAAGGTTTAAATATAAAACTTTTTGAAGATCCTACTATAAAATGAAATTTTATGTTACATTGTTATTATTTTTTTCCTTTTTAGTCAATTAACCAATAGAATTTAAGCAAATCCTAAGGTAAGGTTTCATATGAAAGTGAAATTCTACTGGTAACATATTTTAGTAGTAGGCGGAGTCCTGGTAAGACATTCTTAATATATTTGTTAATAGTAGTTGAATGTGTTTATTGAAGTCTTTTAAAGGTAGCAATAGTATATTATAAAAGAATCTTTCTGTATTTTTTTATATTGAGTAAATTATTTAACTTTACTATACTCAAATCTTTTTTATTAAATGTCATTTTTAAGCTATAAAATTATATAAAAAATAAAATTATTTTTTACTAAAAAAAATGGATATAATGATTGTTAGAAAGAGTTCCAATAAAATAAAAAATATTTTTTTTTAAAGTAAATTTATTTTTTAACTTAAGTAAAATTTGATATTTCTTAAATAATATTTTTTACCTTTTTTAAAATATTAAGTAAATTTATAGAACAGGTAAAATTATCTATAAATTATAATTTAAAGACTAGTATACAAAATTTTAAGTTTTTAAATTATAGAAATAATAAATAGTAGTATAAATTATATAAAATCAACCATAATTTTAAGAACTTTTTTTTTTTTTATCAAAAGTTACATTATTTTTATTTGAATATTTTCTATTAATAAATATTTAATAAGTATTTTAAAATATTTTATAATGATGAATTAATGATGTTATTTTAATATATTAAATTCAAGAGGATAAGAAATTTCTTTTTCTTTATATTATTTTTAAAATAGTATAATTTCAAAATAGCAAAGAATTTTAATTTCATGTAATATAAACATCTTTGATTGTATGACAATAAATGAAAAATTGCAAAATTTTCTTTAAGAATATAAAAGCAAATAATTACCACATTTACTTCCATTTAAAAATTCAAATCTAGATACTTACAAAATTGGGATCTTTGCAGTAGAAAAGGATAAAACTGCTAGGAAAATAAAAAATGAATTAATGTTAAATCTGGATTTATTCAAACCTAAAAATCATATTTGACATATAAACATAAATTTAACTTTTTCTGACAGCCTTATCTCTTTTTATTGTAAAGACTCCAGATATTTAAATTAATTTATTTGATCTTTATTGATTAAATTTTAATAAATGTAAATTTACAAGAAAAATGGGGTTTTCTTATAATTTTTATATAAGTAAATTACAATTTTTACTTCTTTTATTAAAAATTTTCAAATTTCAATGTATTTACAATTTAAAAATTTTTTTAAATTTTTAACAAGTATTTTAACTCCGACCGAATTATAATTTTGGCAGAATTGTGACAATCACCACTTAGCAAATAGCAATACTCTTTAATAAATATCAAATTTTCTTATTTTTCTATACTTTTTAACAATAAATATGAAGATATTCTTTGAAAATAAAAAATCTTTCAATATGTTCGTAAAAGACATTTAATTTAAACGATTGTTTGTAAAATGTCACAATACTAATTCTGATTTTTCACAATATCCATATGCAGATCCATCTCACGGTTTTGCTAGAGCGAAGTGGTGTGACGCAATGTCATTCCCAAATACTATATAAACATTATTTCTTTTTCACATTCTTCAGCATCAACTTCATGAATAATGAATTATTATGTCCAGTTCGTCTTTATTGTTTATTTGCCAAATAATTTATGAGTTTAATAATTTATAATGGGTTCTATTAATTTGTTTAATATTTAATTAGTTCGCTCCTTACCGAAAAATCGATAAGCCATTCTCGCAGCTTCTTCCATCGCATTTGATTTTGTGTAACATATCTTGTTTGACATAAAATTAAAATCCTTTCCTCGAATACTACATTTAAATCCACCTTCAACATCTTCAATATTGTAAGTAGGCTTCTCCCATTTTTTTGCTTGACAAATTTCATGCAAAAGACTTACATATTTTTTGTATATGAACGATTTCTTGCGAATCTGCATCGGTTCGCTGTTGCAAGGAGGTGGAGGCAAGTATGGATGATATCCGTGACTCCTCACTATTTTCAGAATCAAATCGCGAAAGCCTTCTTGCTTCGGCTCGGCTTCCAAAAGAACGCGTGAATAATATACGTCGTCTATCTCATCGATTTCCATATCAACAGCTTCTTCGTTACCCTCATTCAATACTGTCCAAGATTCGGATATTGAAGTTTGTTGATTATGGCTTTGTTTTTGGAGGTAATATTCCGTAAATGCGCTTGCAAATGGTGATCCCAATTCCGATGATATATAAGTAGAGCCAGGTGCATTTTGTGATGGACATACTGTTGGACGAAAGTAATTACTATGAAACCCATATTTTCCATTTTGTGCTTTCCTTGTATCGAGTTCACGTTGTTCTTTGTAGCAGAAATCAGAGAATAAGGCTATAAATCCCTTTTCTGCAACGTGATCCTTTGATTTTGGTACGTGTAAAAAGGACCTGTTGGGCTTGAATTCACGAGAGCCTACGCGAAGATCGAATTTGTAACGACCTCTCTCATCAAGATTCTCGTGATATATGGGGAAACCAAGTTTATGGTATTGACAAAACTCGAGTAATAGAACTACAGGTCTTTTCTGTGGGAATTGATTCAATGTTCTTTGGTACCACCTGATCGAAGGTAAAACTTCGCTCTCTCCGACTTTCCCTTTTTTTCGAGGTAATTGTACTGCATTTAAAGTTGCTTGAGTAATCTCCTTCACCAACTTTGCAGGTAAATTATCAATTAGGTACTTCACAGCTTTACGAGTTGCATAGTGTTTTGCCATCTGCTTATTTTGTTGGTAATCTTTACCCTTAAATGTCTTGCCATTGTACTCCAATTTGCAACAAAAGTCGTTCTTTTCATTTGTTATAAAAGTATAAATCGGAGGTTTAGTCTTAGTTTTTTGAGATAGAACATTAATAAACACAACGGGATTCATATTCTTGAAGTTTTTGTTTAAACTATCCAAGTCAAATTTTCTAAAGGAATTGTATGGCATTTTTCGGTAGGAAAGGTTCTTAACGAAAAAACGCGCAATTGTAATATTAAACGTGTGACGATTTGATTTTCATGTGATCTCGCGAATATGGCTGTTCTCGAAAAGATCTAATAATTCTGGAAACTCATTTTTGCATTGGAATATCAAATACGTGACCAGATTCATTAATGTGTGTTCTTTAGAAGGGAAAATTCTAAGTTTGATTATAATCGTTGAATCGTTGAAACGGATTTTTTTTCCGGAAAATTTTAAGATCAAAAAACGACAAAAATCTTCTTTTGTAATTATCACATTTTTTTTATTAAGTAGAAAATTTTTAACGCGAAAAAAGCCAAAATATTTTAATGTTACACGAAAAGCTTATTTGAATGAATAAATGCCAAAATCTATATCAGGATTAAAAATTACATTCTATTATTCTATTAAATGTTATTAAATGCTATATTGTATTAACACTGACTGAAATTTTTACAAAAAGAACGCGTTCTAGTGTTATTGCGAAAAAATTCACAACTTCACAACTATTTTAAGCTAGCCCATGAAAATTTAAGAGTATTTATATAGCAGTTCAGAACTTCAAGTATAGGTGTAGGCTTGAATGCTTTAGTTAAGTAAAATAAGCAAAAAAACTGAAAGTTATTCAGCAAATATTAAAATATTTATATATATTTTTTTAACGGGTTTAAAACGTAAAAGGGAAAAAAATAGAGTTATTATGACTGAGTCTAGCGGGTTAAGAAGGCCGTTTCACTAGCCACGTGATTGGAAGAACGAAGTAGTCTGATGTGATGATGTCTATTCATCACCCAACCTTGATTCTACATTAATGACTCATTTTGATCAGTTGTGTTAACTTACAACGTGCAAAATTACTCGATTTTATCAATGTGAGAAAATATATATATACACACATACATTTTCCTAATCGCTGCGCCATTGTACTTTTCAACGATGACATCTTCGAACACGATTACAAGTTCTTGGGCTTCATTGTCTGATAGAGATCAAGATGAATTTGACGCGGAAGAAGACATTGAAGAAGAAGCAAAGAAGGTCTAAATTTTATTTATTTACTTCTTTCCTTAGTACTTTGTTTAACCAAATTATCAAACTCAAAAACGGATTCTTCGCGGCAGCTTATGACTAGCAATAGAGATGCTGTTTTATTTGTAATCGATGCATCTTCCTCAATGCTAAGAGCAAATCAATCTGATGAAGCTACAGAGATTCCGTTTCGTTCAGCAGTTCAATGTGCTTCAGAAGTAATGACTTCTAAACTTATATCCGATACTACTACTGATCTTATTGGTGTAGTGTTTATGGGAACGGTATTTATAATATCTTATTTTATTTTTGATCTATAAATAATACAATATATCTGAACATAATGGTTAATTCTATAGCAAAAATCATCAAATACACTTCAAAAAGAACATATCTATGTTCTCCATAGTCTTGATTCGCCTGATATTCAGAGAGTTAAAGAATTAAACTATATTGCATCAGGTAAATTAAACAATATAATTTCATATATTCGTGTTATCAAGCATCTTTTATTAATTTTTTTAAAAAAATAGGTGATGTTGATTTCGATAATGAATATGGTAGTACCGATGATGAATATCCAATTGGCGATGTATTTTGGGTTTGCAGTGAATTATTCAATAAAGAGTTAGTTATTATACGTAGTTTTATTTATATATTTCTTTTTGATTTTATTAATTTCACTGCATTTAACTTTTCAGGACTTCTAAGACTCTAAAAACAAAAAGGATATTCTTGATTACTGATCAAGATAACCCTCATGTGTCAAATTCAGTTTTATACAGCACTGCGATAACTCGCGCAAGAGTTTGTATATTTTTAATATTTAATATGTCCTTCTTTGAAGATTTCTCTTAAAATTTTGAAATTTCCATAAACCTTGAAGGATTTGACCGAATCTGGTATCCAAATCAATCTGTTCAGCTTAAATAAACCGGATCATCCTTTTGACTTTAATGCATTCTATTCGGTGAATATCAACATTTTTACATGTGTTATTTCGTTCATATTTAACTGATCAGTATGAGTTCTAGGAAATTATTCACAGTGATGAATTGGATGAGATTCCCCACTACAGTGCACAAAAAAATTTCGATAGTCTTATTTCTCAAATAATGGCTAAAGAATCACCAAGAAGATCTTTGTTCTCGATTCCATTTCGCCTATTTGGAGGGGATGAGGGAATACCTGAACTTACCATTGGTGTTAAAGGGTATTGCTTTCAATTTTTTCATCCAATGTTGAATTGTTACTGGTCTCATTATTTTAGGTTAACTTTATAGATATGCTATGATCATTGAGAAAAAGAAACCGGCGCCAAGAATGATACACATGAGATCAGAAACAACAAGACTTGCCGAATCTAGAACAAAATACGTTTGTATGGTAAATATCTTTTTTTTTTCAAGAATGGTATAAATCAGTGCTAATTATTAATTATAAAAACAATTTGTCAGGATACAGTTCAAGAATTGATGCCTGACGATATAAAATATTGCTATGAATACGGAGGCGAAAAGGTTAATAGTTATGACTTGTTTTATATCGACAAAGAAAAAACTGATTTTTTTTTCCAATTTTTACATAGATAGCATTCACCAAAGCTGAAGTTGCTGAATTAAGAAGATTCGGCCAAAAGGGTATATCATCATATATACTCATTACCATAAATATATTCTATTTTAATTATTCGATTTAAACGATTAGGTCTTAATCTTATCGGGTTTAAGCCTTCGAATGCTGCTAAATTTCATTATAATGTTGAACATGCATTGTTTTTATATCCTGATGAAGGAGTAAGTTTGGTATTTTATTGTAAATAATTAAAATCTTCACCAATTCACTTCCTATTGATTTTATTGTAGCAATTTGAAGGTAGCAGAAGAACATTTGCGGCATTACATAAAAAAATGCTAGAAATGAGCAAAGTGGCTATATGTTATCTTGTCAAACGGGATAACTCTCTCCCCTCTTTTGTCGTACTAGAAGCCCAAGTAATTCAACTTAAACATCAATGAATATTTTTTTTTTACATTACAAACATAATAATATTATCCTTGTTTGATTTAGGCTGAAAAATTAGATGAAGATAAACGACAGATATTTCCCCCGGGATTTAACATGATACCCCTCCCGTTTGCTGATGATATCAGGCCACTTCCGCCCCACGCTGAAATTACACCTGGTGAGATGAGATTTTTTTAAAAAAAATGTTAACGATCATGAATGGAAATTTTATTAAATAATTTACGATTTATGCAGCTCCTGATGAGATGATTGATATCCTAAAGCCAATTGTTGATAAACTACATATGAAAGGCGGATTTGATCCCAATAAATTCAATAATCCCGGTAAGTATTTTTACATATATTTTTTTATTCCTTAACTATCAACTGCTTGTCTGATGTGTTATTTTGTATGCAGAATTGGGACGTTTCTACGATGTATTGCAAGCTCTGGCATTTGATAAGGAAGTTCCACTGGGCGTTGAGGATTTGACAAATCCAAAATATACAACGATAAATAAGGTTTCTTTATATATATATATCTTTTTATTGTAGTATCACGTTTCACATATTAATGTAAATTCTTCATAAAAGCGTGTTGGATCGATTATTGAGGCATTTAATGACGAGTCAGATCGACAGAGTGTAGAATTGCTTGCCAACCGAATGACCATTCAATCTAAAAAAACATCAACAACTCGTGGAACTCGCGGAACTCGCGGAACTACTCGTGGATCTGGTTCATCTGATTCTATAGATATAAAATCATTGTGGGAACAAGACAAGGTATTCAATACTTTCTTTTTTTAAAATGAAATTATTATAATGTAAAGATGAAATACTAATTTTTTTTTTACAATGTTTAGCTTAAAACGGTTTGTGGATTAAATATCTAATAAGTAATTTTAATTTATTGTATCCATTTCTGATTTATATTATTTTTAATAGGCCACAGTAGATCAATTAAAAACATATGTTCAGACCACTGGAGCAAAGCCTGCTCGTTTGAAAGCTGATTTAATTAATCAAGTTGAAGAATATTTATCATCTAAATCATCTAATTAATATTCGTCCACATGTTTCTTAAAAAAATAACCTTTCATTTATTTTAAATCCAAGCTATAATATGAAGTAGATTATTAATACAACGTAGTAATAATAAAGATAAAAGCCCAATTATGAATTCTGGAATTAAATTACGTATCTCCAATATTGAATATAAAAGTGTAATATACTAAAGACGATTAGTTACATATATTCATTTATTATATCAATTCAAAAAAAGAATTGATCAACAATTAAAAGGGCGTCGCCTCCAGTAATTCAAATCTCAAAGTGTTTACAATCCTGCTTCAGCAATGGTATCCAACTCTTTGTGAAACCTACAAATTCTTCGAACATGAGCAAAAAATATGATAAATATTTAGCCAATCAGCGTAACTCTATGTTTTAAGGCGATCTATTATAATAACAATAAACTTTTTATTAGTCAGTACTCAGTATCTAGACTCTAGTGCTAAGTGCTAACCTACGAATTCGCTAAAACCACCCTTCGTAATATGAAAAAAGATACTCGATGGAAAGTCACGTGTATTAATTATAGATTTGTTGTAACACAACGAAAATAATTTTATTCATACCTTTTTTAGACAGATCGCCATTACCTGGATCATATATTCAAAAAACAGTATACAGTATTCTTATTGCAATCATGGCTACCTTCGATGAATTATCTAGCAAAATTGAACAAGTAGTATTTAAATGCCTATCTGATTCACAAGAGGAGACAGAAGATAATATTAGAAACTTACTGGCTCCTCTTGTTAACAATAAAGAGACTCTTGAATTACGTAAATTAACTCTAGAACATGTAATTAAAAAAATAGCAATGAGATATTCAGTGTGTAGTTTTTATCTAATTATTATTATTATTATTATTTTGTCTCGATATTATGTTTGATTTATTAAAGCTATATGCTTTTATTTTATATATAGGCGCTTCAACCTAAAGAGTTAATACCAAACGCTTTTAAACTTTTGGATTTAGTATTAAGATGTCATGAAGTAGACAAAGGTGATGATATACTGTAAATGTGTTAGTTAAAATTCTTTCTTGAAACTTATTTTGTTTACTAACTTCTGTTTTAAATTAATAGAATTATGTGAGCCTACTTTGACTCTAACTGTTCTAGAAGAACTTTTAGAAACCCAACCAATGGAAGTTTGTGAAACATTATATCAATTCTTGGAGACAAATAAACAAAGATTGCTAGTGGTAAGATGAATTGATTTTATATGATTATTAGACTTTATTGAAGATATCTTAAAAAATGACTTTTTCCTCTGACCGTTATAGGATTTAAAACCGACACAAGGCAAAGGATTGGTTCTTTTAAGGCTGTCTAATGAGCTTATTCGCAGAGCATCAAAATCTAACCACAATGCATTCCGTGGAAGAGTCTTAATATTTTTATCAAATTCCTATGCTCTTGGTGAACGATCTGGTAGACTTTACATATATTTTATTCTTAAATTTATACTAATATGAATAATATGAAACCTTTAATTAATATTTCTTTCTGTCATTGATTATCAGGTGTAAATGTTCGTGGAGAATGTAATGTTGAAAACGTAACTAGCTACAATGCATCGCAGGAGGGTAAACGACTTATTATTTATTACTTAACTTTGAGCAACAGACACGTAATAGTAACATATTAACGAAATCTAGGTGAAAAGGCTGAATTTTATAAAACCTTTTGGAATCTTCAGACTTATTTTAATAATCCACCTAAAATTTTCGATGGGAATAATTTAAATGTAGTTCTCGAAGTAAGAATTTTTTTTTTTTTTTGTTATTATTTATATTAATTATATTAATTGATCTGTTATAAATATAATGTGCTATTTCAATAATGAAGAAAATGGACATAGTCTTAAGCCAATTCAGTGAAATTGTGACCAATGAAAAAGAAAAGGCCGTTGTAGAAAATAAAGTAAATTCTATGGAAATTGATGGCGATGGTGATATTTTGATGTCAAAGAATGGAAATAACTATAATATTTCAACTAAACGAAAACATAATGAGACTGAAGATAGTTTAGAAGAAACAATAAGTTCTTCAAAAGATTATGTCAAATATTTTCCCAAATATTTGACTAGTTATGCATTGTTTGACAAGGAGGTCCGTATTTTTTTTTACCTAAAAAAAATGAAAACCTATTAAAATTGATAGTAATATAAATTGATTTTTTACTTATTAATTTAAAAACAGATATCAGATCCAAATTTCCGTCGTATAGTCCTATTTCAATTTCTTATAATATTGCAATATTTTACAGGTTTTTATGCTGAAGAACGCGCTCGTATTGAAGAAACAAGAGCAAAATACAATAATGCGAATGCTGTACAACTCCCTAATTTCACAATAACCGAACAACAGGTAAAGTTCTTATTGACATTTTTGAATAAATTGATCATATATATTCATAATCTTTTATTTTAGCAAAAGATAATACAAGAAACTTGGAATAGAATAATCAAATTGAGTACTTTAGAAGGAAGTAAATTCACTACTACGTTACTACACATACTTAATATGGAAAAAAGATGGAACCATTGGAAGTTTGGTCAAAATTGCGAAAGTGTGGCAAAAAAATTTATTGAAAAATTATCTGATGACGATAGGCAACCAAAGCCCCTCTCTAAGTTTGATGCAGCACGAGAAAAGAGGATGAAATTGTGTAAGAATTTGGAACCTATGAAATGGAAAATGGGCACTCCACATCTGACCAAGCTTTGGACAAATACAATGAAAGTTAGTGATGATAACATATTATCTGATTCAACCAGAAAGAGGACTGCACCTACTTTTCAAGAAGTTTACCAGAAAATTAAAGATGATGGTTATCCAGTAAGTTAATATTGAAGTGTTGTAACCTTATCTAAATTATTAGATTTAATAATTATACCTTTATTTTATAGCCGGAAAATGGTATGACATTTGATGAAAACGACTATGATGAGTTTAGTAAAGAAGAAAAAGAAAAGGGCTGGGTAATCAAAATTATCATTTTTTACATTAAACATCAATTATTTATTTTTAATAATTATTTTGTGTTATATATATTATCATAGATGCAAAAATGGTTCGCTTTGCGAGCTGCCAGGGATAATTACTTGTTACATTTTAATAAGCCAGCCAAAAAAGATGCTAAAGAGCTGAAAGACCCGAAAGTTGCTAGTGCGTTGAAAGAAGCAGAAGACAGCAAAGATGAAATTGCCGTCTTGAATATTCTAATTACCGAAAATCCGACATGTAGCAGTGGTACCAGTAGTAAGAAGCAACCACTGGCTGATCCTGATAATACACATGATCATAAAAATGGTGTAAATGAACAGAAGAACAGTGAATATAAAAATGGAGAGTATAAGAATGGAGATCATAACAATCCTCATGTAGAACAAAAAAATGGAGAACAAAAAAACGGAGAACAGAAAAATGGAGAACAAAAAAACGGCGACACGAAGAATGACGACAATAAGTAATAAACATTGAAAAAAAAAGAATTATTTATTTTTTAAGGCAAAGACTATGATTCTTTAGAACTTTATTAATTATGTAATAATTTTTCTATAATATACAGTACATATCTGATATACCGATTTTTAGCAAAATAATAATAATAATTAAAAAAGACCGATGAGCAATAAATTTATTCGGCCGAAAGATATACAGTTAGATCGTTTCAACATTCCTGCAGCTGTAAAGTTTATACAACAGGAAAAAGTATACTTTTTAATCTATAAATTACTAAAACAATTCTTTTATTTCTGACTCGGAATTGGCTAGTTATTAGAATATTTATAATAATAAAGAGATAACGAATGACGTATCCCGCCGCCAGTGGTTTACCTAAAAATTCTCATCTATTTTTACATAATGAATATCAAGAGTCACATATTTTAATACTATTTTTCATCACAATAATGTCTAAAAGACGTTCGACTTGAAAATAAGTTTTAAAGAATTATTTACATGTATTGGATTCCGTTTATGATACTCTGCACAAGTCCACAATAATGGTTTGTTGGCATTGATATACTTTTCCTTTTTGCATATTCTATATTATGTTTTAAGCCACGTTTTGCAAAGTAAAGAAACTATCTATTTACATTAGTGAAATGTTGACATTTCCATTTCAAAGATAATTTGCTAATATATTTTCCGATAAACATAATCTCCTTTATCACAATTTATAACTGAGTATCTCCATTTTGTACATAAGAACGATCAGTTGTTAACTATGAGACTGCAATTTATGCATTATATTTGGTTTCATTTTCGAACTATATTATTTTCCAGTTTTTCTTAAATAAATGGTAAAAGATCCGAGGTTTATCGATCAGATAAAGTTGAGTGGAAAAATAACGATGTTTATTATTTGCACTATGAGACTTTTATTTCGGTTGGAAGTTAAAAATAGGTATAAAAGACTGTGAAACTTATTTATGATGAAATTTTAATGTTAATTAATAGGGCTTGTATAACCAACATTTTTATATAATTTGACGATTCTACCAAAAGAATTTCTCCTCACATATTATATATACAGTATATACATGATAACTAATTTATTAAACGTTAATCAATTTAGATTGACAGTTTTTGAATTACAGATTGATAAAATGGTAATTAATAATAAGTTTGTTACTAGCTGCTCCGTCTTGGTCCGATTTAAAAATGACAAAAATGACATAATGACATAATGATTGTACTTATTTTTCTTAAATAAATAAATAAAAAATAGTCATTAAGTATGGCACACGTGTGACAGTATAGATTTTTACAGAGACAAAAATTATTACCCGTGAATTTTCGGGACATTCTTTACTCGGGGGGAAGGGAAGTCACTGCGGCTTACCGTATTATACCGAAAGATTCCAAAAAAAATCATGGCATGACACTTTAGTAAATCCTAGAAAATTAATAATCCACTACTAAATAAGGAATATTCAATGATGTAAACATACAATCATCCAAATTTTCATCTTCGGTGCAAGTTTGTAATCAGAATTTTTATATAAAATACGTAGTAGCTCCGAGAAAAACTTTTTTTGATCACAACTTAAAAATTCACAATGTCTCAAAATTTACGTAAAAAGGCTGCAACTCGTGCTTCCCGACGTGCTAGCAATAATGCAGGGCCTACTCTGGCATCTATTCTTGCTCTTGGAACTCCTTTGAGTAGTCGTCATAATACCGATGAAGAAGACGTTTGGAGTGAGACATCCGCTGATACTTTTGATTCTTCCGCATCAACTGGAAGTAGAGCTGAAGACATAATTTTAGAAGAAGGTGATAGGTGGGAGGATGAAGTATTACAAAGCATCGATAACTTGGAAGAGAAGCGTACAAGGTAGTATAAATTTGTTGAATTTATTCATTCTAATAATAAATTTTAATGATTTTTGTGATTAGTATTCGAGAAGATGCGTTGGCCAAATTGATCCGTCTCCTTTCTCGTAAATACACTGCCAATATTCTTTATTCACGAAGAGATACACTGCTCGACATGTTGAATCGATCCGTTAAAAAAGATAAAAGTTACAAAGAAAATAAATTGGCTGTTAAAGGTTAATATCCGAACTTTTTATGGATATGTTATTAAAAATAATCATTTAATAACTTTTGTTTCCTTTTATTAGTGATGTCGCTATTATTTGTTACTTTAGGTGAAGGTCAAGAGTCAATGTATCATGATGTCTTGTCCCTTTTAAAATATACTATCACTAACAGTGTTTCTATGGAAGTAAAGAAATCAGTAAGTAAAAATGAAATAGTATTTTGAATTATTTGCAACTTAATTAATAATTATGTTTTCTTAAATAATTATAGTGCATAAAAACATTAGCTTTGGCTTGTTTTATTTCTGGTTCACAAGCTGAAGCTCTTGAACTTATGAACTTTTTTGTCGAAATTATAATTACCAATGGTAAAAGCGTTAATGCCATTAATGACGGAGCTACTTTAACAGGCGCATTGAATGCATACGGCTTATTATATGCCGGATTATGGGGAGATTCTAAGAAAGTAGCCGGAATGGCTAGAGAGGAATTTGAACGAGTAATGCCAGCACATATTAAACAACTTGAATCATCTACTATGGAGGTGAGAGTTGCTAGCGGCGAAAATATTGCATTGATGTTTGAAACTTTAGGAATAAGTAAAGGAATAGATTCGGCTGAAGGATGGGGCCAAGAACTCGATGATGAGGTTTTTAGAAACTTTTTTTTTTAAAAAAAATTTTAATATTTATCTATAAAAGTCTAATTTATTATCATTATTATTACTCTAGTCTGACGAAGGCTATTTCGATTATAATGAGATGGGTCGATTAACTCAGTTATTAAGTACATTAGCTACAGATAGCAACCGTCGTCGCGGCAAAGCTGAACGTAAAGTTCAGAGATCTGCTTTCCGTGATATTTTGAAGACTGTTGAGGTTAGTATTACTTTCATTTCTTATTCAATATGTCCTTTATGTCGTAGATATTATGTTCCAACAATTTATTATCTTATAGGAGGGTGATCAAGTCCAAGAAAAGCTCAGATTCAAGAAACAAACAATTTACTTTTCTACGTGGGCCAAAATCATTGAGCTTAATGCGTTTCGTGATGCTCTCGCAGAAGGGTTGCATGTACATTTTCTTGAAAACGAGCTTTTACAAGATCTGTTTAATTTTGTTCCTCCACGTCCTGTAGCGGTAAATCAAGGATCAAGACCAAATTCAGCAATGAGTTTTCATACTGCTGGATCTGATACTGATTCTTCAATTGCAAGCAAGAAAGCAAAAGATAAAAAGATAAAGAATAGAAAAAAGCATAGCAAAAGGAGAGGTGATTTTCTGGAAGTTGGTTAAATGTAAAAATTTTATGGGGAATGTAAACAAGGGCGTCAATAAAGTTGATTTTTTCCTTTTGGAACAAATCACTGGATATACCGTATATTATCGGTTATCATATTATTTCGATAATCGCTTACGTTTCGATAATCACGGCGATTGTCTATGGTGATGTTCTTGTTGGTCGTCTATTTTGTTAGGACATAGCTGAAAATCCTATTATGCGCTAAACTAATATGGGTCTAAAGCAAGGAAACGTAGTGAAATCCTTTTCACGAGGTCACGTGCTGAATACGTATATACATTTATTATTAGATTTATTATTAGATGATATATGTTTTTATGTATGAACTAACAGTATTATTATTATATATTTAAAATAAGTGTTAAAATAATGCTTCCATCTTTGTAATAAATTCTTCCTGAACCATTTTGAGATATTTTCTCAATTCTTCCTTGTCTAAGTTAGAGGATCTCCTAATTTGTAACAAGTGTTGCGTCAACTGTTTTAAAATAATGAATGACATTAACATATACGGTCTAAATAATGTGGAGATCCAACTAAAAAATGATTATAATGAAACAATTACAGTACTTGTAACAATGTCTTTCGCCGCTGAATTATTTTATTTGAAGTCGATTTTTCTTTATTGGAATCAATAAGTTCTTTCAACTAAAATAATAATTATTATCAAATTAAACATAATCAATATAATCAATGTAATCAATGTAAAAAATTTTTTTCTACAAGCCTTATATGAAACTTCAGTAGCCTTTCTAATAACGTTTTCTGGTAAACCAATAATTTGTCCGAACTTTAATCCTAATAAATGTATATTAGACAGTAAATTTTAACAATACAAATGAATAATGGGCTTTAAAAACTTACCATAATGTTCTTCATCGTTTCTTCCGTCTTTGACTCGATACAAGTATTTCATTGCAACTCTACTATCTTCTTCTTCAATCTACCATAAATGGGCTAGTAAATACAAAAAATAAAATTTAAAATAATTATGAAAAAACTTACTTCAACTTCCAAATGTAAATTTACAACATTAGGATAGACGGTTAAGCTTCTCGTAAGTTCATGAAAATGTGTTGCAAAAAAAATAAATGCCTTCAAAGCGCATAAATTTATTATTAATAAAATCTTTAATGGTATTCATAAATACTTATTAATATATGATTTACTTTTGTTTTTAAGAGTTCTTCACAAATCGCGTATGTAATTCCCAATCCATCGTGTGTGGAAGTTCCTTTAACATAATTTTGATCAAAAAAAGATAAAATTATTTATTCGTAATTATTAAAAATATAATCACCTCTTCCAAGCTCATCAATAATCACTAAGCTATCATCTGTTACATTTTGTAAAATGTATGCTGTTTCACGCATTTCAACTACAAATGTACTAGCATTACTTTCAATATTATCGTCGTTACAAATTCGCGTAAAAAGCTATTGAAAAAAAATTTATGTTAGTTAACCTTGAAAAAAGGGGGGAGGGGGATTCTCACCTGATCCACAATTCTAAACGATGCGTATTCAGCAGGCACACTATTTATAATAAATTAGTTGATTGCCATGGATAAAAAAATTTTTTAAAAATAGGCCCTTACTATGATCCAATTTGAGACATAATACTCATCAAAGCAATTTGCCTCAAGTAAGTACTTTTTCCGCTCATATTTGGACCAGTGATTAATTGGAAGTTAGTTGCACTACTAGCATAAGTATCGTTAGGTACAAATGTATCAACATATAAACTTTCTCTCATTGGATTTCTTCCAGCCTTTATTGCCAAAGTATCCGTGAATTCAGGTCGAACTGATTTATTATTTATTAAATAAATTAAATGTTGAACCAAGTTATCAGCAATAATTTAGAATAAAATATACCATAATTAGACACTGTGCATTGATGAGCAAATGACGTTAGCATGTCTAACATCGCGATTGATTCGGAAGCTTTGTATAACACACTGATATCATTACGAATTTCCGAAATCAAATCTTCAATAGTTCTATGAAAAATAATTAATATCTGAGGTACTGGTAGCTTATTTAACAAAGAGATGATTTTAGAATTATCATACTTGTCAGACATCAAATATACTTCAGTTAATGAATCACTAATCTTTGTATTCTTTTTCATCACTTCTAATGTTGTGAAGGTCAAAGTTTTCCTTTTTTTTTTCACATTAATAAATATAAGGGGAAGTTGTTTGTCTTCTAACTGTTCGATATTAATTGATAAATAAAATCCAGCAGTTGAACTAAATTGTGTTTTAATGGGGATCTGATATTGCTCTAAAAAACCCAATAAAAATCAACAAGAAATCAACGTGTATATTATCATTATTTTATTGTATTTACCACGATATTGGTCTATCATTTCGTTTAAATCATCAACAGTTTCTTTGTAAGTTTGTCGAGCGACATCCAACAAACCATTAAATCCCGCCTGATAATGTATTAGGTATCTATTATTATTATTATTATTTAACACGATTAATAAAGATTTTCTTTTTCCTACCCTAACTGCGTAACATCGCTGATTTCTAAGTGCAAGTGGCGATTTTACATATGTGATATCTTCGTTTATAACATCGTTAATTCGTTCTTCGAGAGCCTCCAACCTTAGATCATTAAGAAGCTAATTATATATATACAAAGAAAAAAAATATTTAATTAAAAAATAATGACATTTGAAAAGATTAATAAAATAATTATACAAAACCGAATAAATCGCGTCCAATAACGAATTTTGAACCCCGGTAAATGATTCTTTTAATAAATTTATTAATTTTAATGTATGCTTTAAAATAATCACGTTATTAATACTTTGTTCCGCATGTTTAACTGAAGGTTTCTTTGGAACTTGAATCAACTAAAAAAAAATTGATTAAATTATAATAACATATACCGCAGCAAACGAGAAATTAAATGAGATTAATAAATTACTGCTGTGATCAAATGATCAATATCTTGAAATGGTTTGAGAGCTACGACCATAATAACGTAAGATGAGTTAGATGAACTGCCATAAATTTTCTAATTTTGTATATCGATTTTTACCCGTTTGAATCGCAAAGAATGTTTCCTTATTTGTAAGAAATAATTATGCATTAAATGTCATTTATCGTTATTCAAAGAATAAGAGTAATGGAAATATACTTCATGACGTATAAGCTCTGTATAATTTAAATAATTAAGATCTTAGTAAATCTGAAATTGTCGAATTCATCCTATTATAATTATATCAAAAATATTCAAAAAATGAATACCCTCAACAGCATCCAATCGCATATTAATCGTAGTTACATCTAAATGATTAAATAAATAATAATTATAAACAAATGTACTTTTTGTAATTCATATATAAAATTATATTAAAAGTACAAACCGCTTAAAGGTTGTAAAGTATTGGTTCTTAATAAGCGGGCTAATAATAAAATTTATTAATACACGTACCGCAGTAACAAAGTCAAAAATTCGTATTATAACATTAATATACTAACCTCCCATGGGTGTACGTGTGTTATTTAAAATACCTTATAAAAATTTAAAATTTTTTAGATTGATTGCAAATTCTAGTAGTATAGTTGTACATATTATATTGTACAATATAACAGTAATAATAAAATGTTTATACCGTAAAGTGAATGATTGCTACGTGGATTATTTATATTGCTAATCAATTCAAGATTACGTGCAGTCACACAATCTAAATATAGATAATATAAATTTTGTTAAAAATTTTAAAATGTTGATTCATTGTATACGAATATCATTGCGTACGAATACCTATCATCATTGTTCCTGTATAAGATTATTAAAGAACTTGGATTATTTCTACATACTTTAAAAAATATTTAAATATTGATCATTATATAAAAAAGGAATTTTCACCTTCACATCCTTGATATTTGAATTTAATTGAATGGTTAGTAAAGAAAATGTTTTGAGTACTCTCGATATATCTAAGTTGTTGATAAAATTAGGAATTTCTCGATTAAAAGATTAATTAAAATTTACATTAAGTTTTTTATTCTCACTTTAATATTGCGCCTGTTGCTGCTAAACAATAAAATCTAAGTAAATTAAGAAAAGTAAGCCAGAGAAGATTTTTTTTTTAAAAAAAAAAAAAATAATTGATACTTTGACGTTATTCCCAGAATCAATGAAGCGGAATCTTCCTCTAAACTATACTGAATACGAAAAAAAGGGCAAACATTAATTATTGGAAAACATAATTAATTTGCAAAAAATTCAACTTGCCTGTTTTATGTAATTAAGACCTATTCAAATTATAATAGTGATTAATAATAAGATTAATGATATTTAATTTAAACAAATAACAAATGGATTAAAGACATTTTACAAAAAGTGAGATTTTATTTTTATTGCATTGTACCTTTTGAAGTTAACAGACTAAGATACAACCAATCTTAAAAAAAAAATGTCTTTAACCCAATTTCCTAGTATGTAAAAATCGTAACACATACCAATCGCATCATTAAAATATTTTCTTCCAATTGGTATGATGCTGGCCATGGGCATATTGTCTTCGAGTATTTTACATAACTTTGACTTTGATGGTTCAATTGCGGTCACGGATAATATGATCTTCAAAAAGAATGAAATATTAAGTAATGTGAAACCAAATTAACCAGACATTTATAATCAGTTTAAAATACCTCAACGGGATTATATAAATTTAATTTGTGTAATGTCTTTACGTAAGTTTGAGAATCAGCAATCTTAACAATAAAAAAAAAAAAAAAAAAAGTAGAAAAAACCAAATTAAAATAAAATAAAATCAAAGACCATAAAATAAACTTAATTAATTAATTATACCTGAGATAAAATACATTCGCTCGTCCTCAAATCGATAAAACACATACCAACTTCAGTAGCAACACCTAGAGTATAAAAGAATCAATCAATAACGAATAATTCTAAATTTAACAGACATTTACCTCTACCCTCAATCATGGCAACTACAAATGAATGATTATCGCGACCACCAATACATGCAGAAGCCGAAGTTTTAGGTCGTCGCGTCGGTAAACTGGAAAACGAAGATTTTGAACGCTCAGAAGCTCTTGACGAAGTTCTACGACAATATTTTCTTGATCCATAAGCGGATAGTCTCGTACTATTATCAGAAGTTGGAGTGGATCGATATACGGAAGAATAAGATGAAGATGATAACTTTGAAGACGACATGTCTAATTCATACATATATATTTTTTTTTTTTAAAAAAAAACATATAAAAAGGTTTAACTTTATTTGGAAATTTAATGTAATAAAGATGGTATTCGCTTTATTATTTTTTTTTTAAGATGGCTGTGTAATTTAAAAATAGACTTTTGTATTCCTTTTTTGTACTTAAAAAAAAAAAAAAAAAAAAAAGATTATTTTTTTTTTTAATAAACAAGATTTTAATTTAATAGATGAAAGTTTCAATTACAACAGATGATAAATAATGATAACACCACAATAATACCGAATATTAATAATAAAGAACAATATTTCAGATTTTTTTGTACACATAGAAAGAAATAAGGAAGTAGATCAAACAAAGAACAATATAATTAATACAAATGGAATAGAAAATGATATACAAATACAATATGTGTAAAAAATTGATTTTTATGATCGCGGGAAACAATTTTCCAAATTTGACTGATTATGCAGGATTTTGCGGTATGTATGACGTTGCGCACTTCCCTTGACAGCTCACAGCTCAAAGTTCAATCCTTGCATATGCCTAATTAAAAGTTACCCAACATTTTTCATATTATTAAAACAAACAAAAAAAAAAAAAAAACTGAAGTTAGTAAGAAATGAAATATAAGATAAAAACGAAAAAAAAAAAAAAAAAAAAAAAAAAAAAACCTGATCATATCAGGTTTATACTTACGCGTTGCTTTTCTTTACATTAAACTTTGATTCTTCTCCAATCAAAAGAAAACAAGTTTTTCTTTACTTAGATCTTCTTTGTTATTTCCATTTAAATTATCCAAATATTTGTGTTGTTCTTTGTTCTTTCAAGTTTCTCCTGAAAATTTCACACATTTTTACGCGTCAAAAATATGCCATCTTCCTTATAACACAATTATCATATGACAAATTTTATATTGGGAAATTTATTTATTTACTCAATACGAATTTTTATTTTGTGGGTTACTTTTTTTAAAAAAATGCCCCACTTTGGTAATTCATATTAACCAAAAAAAAATTATTCTTTCTTTGTTAGAGTTTTAACTTTCACAGATGAGGAAAAGGCTAAACTTCTGGTTAACTACATTCAAAATTTTATTTATATATAATGTATGATATGTATATATATATACTTATATATACAAATTACGGTTTAAAACTTTATATCTTTTTGTTACACAGATTTCTATACTCATTCGAACAATAATAACTTAAAAATTTTTTTTTTTTTTTTAATTCGGGACTTATTTTGTAAAGATTACCAGACAAAAGTTTCACAAACGCCTTTTTCTTTTTTTTAACTGGTAAACTAACTGGTAAACTAAACTTTTATGGGATTGTCGAACAAAAGGGAAAAAATTTTCGAGAATTAAATCATAATAATAAACGTAACTATATTTTCCTAATAGATCTTATTGAAGATTTTATTATTTGTTTTTTTAATTAATTACTTCAAATTATTCTCATTTTAGCGAGAGTGAGAGAGAGAATCTTTAGGTAAAAAAAAAAAAAAAAAAAAAGGTTAGAAGAATCGAGATAATAAATTAAATGAAATGTTATGCTATGCGATGTATGCGCTAAAAGAGATGCTTCTTTTTCGGATAAATTTGACAAAATGAGATAAAATTAACGGAGTTATTTCTGTTTCGAAGTAAGTCAGTTTCAATTTCTGTATTTCAAAGTTGAATTAAGAATATTAATTAAGAAGAACGTAACATCTTTGCATTATGCAATTTTCTATATAGCATTGATTATTATAAATAAACAAAGAAGCAATGTACTAAGTGTCGCCATCTTACATATCTTGGTAAAAAAAAAAGAGAGAGGGAAAGAAATAATCTTCTCGAATTGTTATTATTATAAAAAATTTATTCGGAAGAAATCATAATTAAACTTATTGATTGATCTTATGCTTGAAATTAAAAATAAATGTGATTTTTGTTTATTTAAAACTTTTTTGGGTTGACAAGAAAAACACAAGTTACAAGTACTATCAACAAATAAAGCGTACGCAGCGTATTGTATTTATGTATAGTATCACAACATATAAACTATTCGAATTAGCCGGATTTGGTCAAATCAACATTATTTTGAGACACTACCCTTGATATTTGAAAAAAAAAAAACGTCAAAAAAAAATTATCGCTTATATATATGTTGATTCCTTATGGGGTTTAGTCCTGATTTCTTTTTTTATTTATAAACCTTTGTTCGTTCGAAAAAAAAATTTTCTTTAACTCAAGTTGAGTTTGTTGTGGTTGGTTCCCTTCCACTAAACAACTCTTCTCTCCTTATAATCATCTCTCTTCTCCTCTCTCTCTCTCCCTCTCCCTTTCTTAACCTCATACTTTCTTTTCCCCCCTTTTCTCATCTAATATATTCCGATTCCCCTATTTTTTTCAACAAAATACGAAAAAAAAATAGTCTGGCTAAATTACATTCTTTCATCTCATTCTCCGAAAGATTTTATTATATTTTCAACTAGCTGGATCTATTGATATACAATATAAATAATTTATAATTATTATTATATTATAATCAATTCCTATTTCGTAATAAATTTGGTGTATTTTTTAGATCAGAAAAAATCTGTTTAACCAAAATAATTACCAAACTAATACAATTTATTCTTAACCCTGATTCTTAATTTCATATAAAAACCGTTTTTTTTTTCCCAAGCCCTAACTTATCTCCACTCATTTCCTCTTTCGAATTATTAATTTTATTATTTCATTTTCTGTTTCTCTTATTTTTTTTTTCTATTAAATCTTTAAACAAATCTCACAAAATCTTACAAATCTTACAAATCTTCTTACAAATCTCATATAAATCTTGTTAAATAAAAAAAAAAAAAAAAACTTAATATTGAAAATGGCAGATACGGAAGTTAATATATACGCTGATTCGCGGACCTATTACAGCACTGGTAACAACAATAGCTATGATTTGTCAAATGNATTATTTCATTTTCTGTTTCTCTTATTTTTTTTTTCTATTAAATCTTTAAACAAATCTCACAAAATCTTACAAATCTTACAAATCTTCTTACAAATATCAAATTTATTTTAAAAATAAAAGAAATCGAAAAAAACTAAATATTGAAAATGGCAGATACGGAAGTTAATATATACGCTGATTCGCGGACCTATTACAGCACTGGTAACAACCTGTCTCTTATACACATCTAGATGTGTATAAGAGACAGATATTATATAATATATATATAATATGAAAATAATATTTTTATACTTATAATTTTTGTTACTTTGCTTTTTTTCTTAAAAAAAAAAAAAAAAATTAGATGTCAAAAAAACCGGGACATAAAGAAGTAGCACGCAGAAGAAGAGCTTCTCATGGTAAAGTAGTTTTTCTATTTATTTCTTTCCCTTTTAACTTTTTAGAGTTCGATATGTAATGTTTCAACATTTGAATGGGATAATTTTTTCATGAAAAAAAGGGTGTCATTAGTCATTTACCGATAGAATCCTTTTTCTCATAATGTCAATATCAAAATCCTCTTACGATATCGAACTCGATAGCCGTAAATTCCTTAAAGAATCCCATCAATTTGATCTATCGAGATATCGAAATATCAAGATATCCTACCCTTTTGACCCTTATGATTCCTAGACTTAATGTTAGATTTTCTAAGAAAGATATATTTGCATATATTTATGTATGTTTGATTCATTAAAAATTTGAAATTTATTTTATTTTATTCTTTCAATTTTATAGATGAGGTAACAAAACCTCGTAAATTCTTGATAGATGTGGAGGAAACTAAGCGTCAAATCCTAGAACAAGAAGATACTGATGGAGATAATCAGATCACTATTCACGATATGGGCCCTAAAACTTTACCTGTTGGTACTCTTGATTCAGGTGGTCATAGAAAATATGAGATTAGAGGTACTTATATGATTAGTAATCTTTTACAAGAATTGGCTCTAGCAGAAGAACATGGACGTAAACATATAATTTTGGATGAAGCTCGGCTAAATGAGAATCCGGTTAAACGTTTATCTCGTATGATTAAAACCAATTTCTGGGATGGTTTGACAAGAAGAATAGATGCTGAAGGATTGGAAATAATTTGTGCGGATCCTAAAAACAGAACAGCTGATCATTCACCTCGTATTTACATTCCTTATAACGAGGATGAACAATATCATTATTATACTAATTTAGCTGAAACTCGACCACATTTGAATTTACAAGTTGAAAAACTACCAAAAGAAATCACTCCGGAATATGTTAAAAGTATTAATGATCGACCTGGAATTCTTGCTTTAGCCATGCAAAAACATGTTGATATTCAAGGAAATATTACTTTAAAAGGTGTACCATTCATTGTACCTGGAGGTCGTTTTAATGAAATGTATGGTTGGGATTCTTATTTTGAAACTCTTGGTTTAGTTTTAGATAATAGAGTAGAAATGGCAAAAGGAATGGTAGATAATTTTGTTTATCAAATAACACATTATGGGAAGATATTAAATGCGAATAGAAGTTATTATCTTACCCGATCTCAACCACCTTTCCTTACTGACATGGCTATTAAAGTATATGAACATTTAACCGAAGAACCGGAAGAAAAAAAAAAATGGCTAGAAATTACAATTCGTGCTGCCATTAAAGAATATTATACAATTTGGATGAGCCCTCCACGTTATGATCCTATAACCGGTCTTAGTAGATTTTATCCAACTGGACTTGGTATTCCACCGGAAACTGAAGCAAGTCACTTTGACCATGTGATTTTACCTTACGCAAAAAAATTAGGACTTTCTATTAAAGAATATGTAGCAAAATATCAATCCCTGGAAATTAGTGAACCTGGCTTAGATGAATACTTTTTACATGATCGTGCAGTTCGTGAATCTGGTCATGATACTACTTATCGTTTTGAAAAGAGGTGTGCACATCTTGCCACTATTGATCTTAATAGTTTGCTTTATAAGTATGAAGTTGATATTAGTGAAATTATTAGATTAATCTTTAATAATCAATTCGAATATAATGGAATTATTGAAACTAGTTCTACTTGGTCTGAAAGAGCTTTGTTACGTAAAAAGAGAATTGATAAATATTTATGGAACGAAGAGAAAAGTTTATATTATGATTATGACACCTCTAAAAAAGAACAATCAGTTTATGAATCTGTTACTGCATATTGGGCACTTTGGGCCGGTTGTGCCAGTCACGAACAAGCTGAAAATTTGGTGTATGTATTTTATATGTATTAAAAAATATGTAAAATATTTTATTTATTGTTTTTTCTCTCTTTTTTTTTTTTTATTTAGAAAAATATCTCTCCCTAAATTTGAAGTTCTTGGTGGACTTGTAAGTGGAACGGAAGAATCTCGTGGAACAATTGCACTTGATCGTCCAAATCGTCAATGGGATTACCCTTTTGGATGGGCACCTCATCAAATTATGGCATGGCGTGGTCTTGAGAATTATGGATATATGACAGAAGCACGTCGTTTAGCATATCGTTGGCTTTTTACAATAACAAAATCTTTTGTCGATTTCAATGGAGTAGTTCCTGAAAAATACGATGTTGTTACTTTAAATCATTTGCTTAAAGTGGAATATGGTAATGTAGGTACAGATTTCAAGTTTGTGCCTCGTGAGGGTTTCGGTTGGATGAACGCTTCATATCAAGTTGGATTGTCTTATCTTACACATCATATGGAGAGGGCTTTAGGAACTTGCACAAGCCCTGAAGTATTTTTCAAGAATAGAGAAGTCAAATTACCTCCCATGGAATATAAGGGAAGCATAGACCTAGAAGAAAGTAAAAATCATGAGGAAAGCAAAAACCACGAAGAAAGCAAGAATCAAGAAGAAAGCAAGTTTTGAAACAACTTTTATGATTCAAATGATTATCGATATAGACTATCTTGATTAATGACTATTGATCGTTTCCTATTGACTGCATGTATTTTATCAAAATTTTTTAAAGACATTTTTCATTTTTTCAATTGGGTATATCAAAAACTTTTTCTCGAATCCTCGCATATAATATGATGTTTGGTTCGAATTTCTTTATTTCTTTCATTATTATTTTATTTCTTTATTTCTTTATTTCCTTATTTAGTATTTGGGTTATATTGGGGGTTCTGGTTATTGTGTGGGCTTGGGTTTCGATTTGAATTATTTCGAATTTTTTATTATATGTAAATATTTAAAAAAAAAATTTCATAATTTTTTTTTATATCGTACATCCCATTTTATGTAACCATATATGTTTTTTCATTAACTTACCATCGCAGATAATTATTAATTCATTTAGGAATTTCGTTCTAAATGAACCTCGGAGAATTCTTATATGGTCAAAAGATGTACAATTTTACCGTAACATACTCGTATTAAACTCTCCCATATTATACAAAACCACACACAATCCCTATTTAAAAAATTTATCACTCGTTTTTTTTTATTTACGTCAACCAATTTTCATTCGTCGTTTATAGTAGTATCCAAGTAGATGCTTTTTTTTATATATACATAGACAAATCTTTTTATCAGATATCTTCTGAATGTTAAACAAACTTCTAAACAAATATTTATTACATTTATTTTAATCAAATGAGTTGTATAAAATATAAAACAAATAACAAGGGTGTAATTTATAATAAAAAGAGTTCTTAAACAATATACTTTAATTATTTTATTTTATTTTATTTTATTTTTTTAGTTTTAGTTTTAGTTTTAGCACTATTGGAATATGCAATATTTTTGTTATGACGGGCGGCAAATTAAATGACGTAATGATGATTTTTTTTTCCTAGATCGCAAAAATTAAAATGGAAAGGGTCGTGCAAAATTGTATAATTAAGTTTGGGTTACTTATGATGATCATTAATTGCATTTTTTTATTACTATTCGGAAATTTTGCAGATCATTTATTGTAGATCTTTAAAAATTTAATAATATAACGATAGTTAACCACTGGTTATTATAACCATCTGTCTAATAAAATTTAAATTTTAAATTTTCAAAATTAAATTTTATAAATTTTTGAGATTTACATAATTTGTCATATGATATAACTACATGACATATGTTTAGACTATTTTTATACTACAGTACTACTCTTTCTCTTTCATTTACCTTTATTTACCACATTTATTCCATTTACTTGTTTGTTTCATTGATTCATTTATTTCATTTACCCTTATAAAATTGCATGAAAAGAACATATGATACACTTTTTTCCTCTCATTTTATTCATTTTATTTTAAATATTGCTACTATTCTTTAATATCATAATTTCAATATAGCTGATTTTGATCAATAAAATATACATTAATTCTAAAATTAGCTTCTTTTTTTTTTAACAAACAATTCATTAAATAATCTATCAGCCTCTTTTACAGCTATTATCTTCATTAATATTTTCCATTCTTTTTCTTTTTCTTTTTCTTTCTTTATGTAAATCTGATGTAGTTAAAAATATATTTTTGGTGTTTTCAAAAGCTAATTGAAGTTTTGCTTATTTTATCTCATGGATGACAAATCATGACATTTTAAATCATATTTGTTGAATAATTCTTCAATTTGTTGTTGATGTATAACAATATAGTAAATATGAAATTTAACAAATTCATATAATAATGGAAATTTGTATATTGGTAAATTAGGTGAATATGCAAAATTTATAAATTCTTCTTTAAATAATGGATTATCCAATGCCATATGCAAGTCAAAGTCATTAAGTTCTTTTTAATTTTCTAAATCTAGTTTAAATTATTTTGCATAGCATAATTCTTTAAGATTTAAAACATATTTCCAAGATAATTCTATAATAGTATTAAATAATTACATGCAAATTTATAACTATAATTTTCTTTTAATCTACTGTATATATACTTAATGGTAAATGCAACCACATTCCCATGTTTTCAATGAATTAAGTGCATTATCAATTCCATTTACTAATCCATTAACAAAATTTTCAAAATCATCATCTTATAAAATAGTTATAGTCTCCCATATTTGAGTTGAAAAAAAGTTATATGGATCAGATTTAATGGCTTTTAAAGATTGAATTCAATGTAAAACTGTATCTGGCATCTCATGAGCTCTTTTTCCTGGTAAAAATCTTGAAATATTACCATTATTATGTAATATTTGTGGTTGTTTTTTAGATTTAACAAGAAAATCTATGATTGGTTCATAAATTTTTTCACCAAATTCTACTAAACTTTCAATTTGCAATTTTAAGATTAGATCTGCCAACTATTTCTAAAGTAATTTCCATTTAACTATATATGTTTTAGGTATATTTTTTTATTCATTTAATTTTTTTAAAAATCATTCTATAAACTCTTCTAATAAATTACATCTTTAAATTGTTGTAATCCATAAAACCAATATTGATGTAAAGGTTTTTGAAAATATAATTAAAAAATATATGTAGTTTTCATATTCATTGAATTGTTTTTATCACTTTCATTATAATTTTGATGAAATTACCAAACAAAATAAATTAAATTAAAAGGATGTTTTTAATTTGAAAAGCCAGTATTTACTTTTAATTTTCCAAAAACCTTATTTTTAAAATTTATCATTATAATATGTATTGAATGCATTTCACAAGAAATTCAAAATGAATTTGTTTTATTTTCTTTATTAAAACTATAGCTCCATTTTTATTTTCAAATATATATGCTGTATTATCTAAGGTTGCTTGTCTAAACTTCTCCAAAATTCTACAATAGTTTCTCCAAAATTTTACTATAGTTTTATTATAGTTTCGGCAAGGTTTTAGCAATTTCAGTATTTATAATAAGTTTTATTAGATTTCGCTTTTCTCCAGAATTTTGTTAACTTTTTAATAAGACTTTCATATAGTTTTGGTAAAGTTTCGCCATTTCACCATTTTGCCAATTTGCCAAAATCCCCTAATTTCTTTAGCAACCTTAGATTATCTATTATCCATATTTGGCATATAGATGGATCAAGATTGTACTATTATTTATAAAATTCAGTTATAATTTAAGAAACAACTGCTCCAGTACATTAATTTAAATTTTTTAATTCTAATAATATAATTTTTAGAATATTTGCTTTAGAATCTTAATACATAAAACATATTACAAATAATTTGCAATCACCATGAGTAGATTCATTTGCCATTATTCCAAATGTAAAGTATTCTAATTTTTTTACTACTTCACATTGCTTTCTTAAATTAATTGCAAAAACTTCTTTATGTTATCCTATAAGAGTATGAGTTGAAAACTATTTATCTAGTTCTTCATCAATAAACTATTCAATTACTAATTTTATACATTTTTACCATTAAAACAGTTTTAGCATTATATTTATTTTTATTTTCTAAAAGCAAATTATGGATCATTATTTTTAACTGACTTTTTGTAACTTTAGATGGATTTTTTGCTTTTAATTTAATTTGTTTATGTAATTGATTATAATTATTACTATATGTGAAACTATAAACTAATCTATTGGTATTCAATATATATTACATTATTTTTACTGAATTTATAATATTTGATAATACATTTGTAAATAATAATAATAATAATAATAGAAATTACAAATGGAACTTTTGTAATTATAAATTAATTAGAGATATTTCATAAAATTCATTAAGCTTCCAAAATTCAATATTAATACTGCTAGTTTAATGATCATTAACTAGTAGATAAAGACCTTGAAGAATAAATATATAACTTAAATCCAGATCTAAAATTTTAATATAACTTTTTTTTTTTTGTTTAATCACTATGTATTTATTAATAAACAAGTCAGGTACATTTATACAAAGTACCAAAGAAAGTAACCTAAACTATTTAATAAAAATAAACTACTTACCATTCTATATAAAACTTCACATATGTATAGTCAAGCAGTTTTAGAGCTATATAGATATAATTCATTTATAATGAATTCTTTTTTAGTCTTACAGATCCCATAGTTTATACTTAACAAACTACAAACTAATACTGCTATGGATTATGTTACCATTATAAAACATTAAAAACAAAAAAAAAAGGTTAAACTTCCTATGATCTTCACAGGATTCCTCTACCCATTAGCAATATAGCATATATAAATTTAATTAGTGAATCTAGAAAGATCTTAAGTCTTATCTATTAATGAATATACTTATTATAAAGGAAATTATTGTATAAAGAGTTGGAATGTTCTGGAATGGTAACTTGTAATTACATGAAAATACAGAGCCTTTTTAACATTTTAAAACAGTAGAACTTTAATTAATAAAATATTTTATTAAATAAAAATATTTAAGTCTACTTTTCTGTTTATATTTATTTAAATTTAAGATTATGTATATATATATATATGTATATATATAGCTGATTAAAAATTTCTCTTCATAGAAATATTTAATTGCATTTTGAAGAACCAAAAAATAAAAAAAAAGATCTTATATTTGTCATACTTTAATGGTGTAATAATATTATATATTAAATATTTTTATTGGAAATAAGTTATCTTTTAAATTTTTGACATTTATTAGTGGATTATATTAATTTAATATAAAAGTCAGTTTCATTAACCTAAAATCATATTGTGTAACATTTAGTAGATCTTCTCTTACCTCTCGTATTTTTTACTTTAAAAATGTATTTTAAGTGACCAAATCAACTTACAGGAATTAAAAAAAGTTAAAGCATCCCAAGGCTCTTCAAAAATTATACAGATTTCAATCTAGTTTAATAGAAAACAAGTTTATTTTTTTTATAAAAAAGTAAAATATAAGGAGAGAACTTTAATTTAAGCCGCACCAATTTAATTTTTCGTTTAACATAACCCCCCCCCTATTTTTAGATTTTTTATGTAAAAAAAATACATGTAATTTAGGC